TGGAATCAAAGTCTTTGCAAATAGGGAAGGGTGGAGGGGGTGAAGGGAGGGCAAGGGAAGGGGAAAAAAATAAGAACCAAGATACTCATGTAATGCTACAAGATCCCAATGATGAATGTAACTGTATTTTATAACAAAAATGTACCAGTAAACTTAGTGGGAAAAAAAAAAAAAAAACTTATTGAGAGAGATAGCTCCTGAGAATCAGGAGGAGACCCAAAAGTGGGTTGCCAACAAACCTACTTCTCAAAGAAGTTTTATACAGCAAAAATCATGAGGTGGGTACAATGTGGGTCAAACTATCATCAACCAATAAGATTATAAGAATAACCACTTGCCCAGTGTGGTGGCACATGTAATCCCAGCACTCGGGAGGTCGAGGCAGGAGGATCACTGCAAGTTTGAGGCCAGCATTGGCTACATAGTGAGTTTAAGGTCATCCTGAATGGCATAGTAAGAGCCTTTCTAAAAACAGTAAAGCCACTTAGGTAATATTGAGAAACAGGTCAAATAGCAAGTATACATAGAAAGATCAAAGACCTTTTTAGGAAGGGATGGATTCGGAGGTCTTGGTCACCAACCTGGGTGACTGATGTCTATCTAGACTTTATTGGACCACTTGATACCACTTATCCATTGGGAAGGTATTTAGGGCTGGTCATTTTGTCTTTATCTTGAGGCCTGCCCTTTAATAGATGTGCCTCTACCCATAGTTGTAATGTGTTCTCATCCTGTATATTGAGTCTCTCTAGGGTCTAGCCCTGTCTGACTGCCTATAATATTTCTACATAACTTAGCTGTCTATAATAGTTCCCCTTCAGAAGAAGTACCCCAGGTAATGACTGTTTGGCTACTTCAGGCTGAAGGGGGTTGTAGTTGTGATTGGCAGTCATAGATACTCTCTGGAGGGTCTATCTAAAGGCCCTTGATAGATCCCAGGCATTCTCATCTTGGGTAGGCATATACTTTATGTCTGGAGGAGACAAGGGCAAAAAACCAGTTAAGTATGCATGGGCTAAATAATAAGATCAATAAGACTATTATGAATATAACCAAAAAATGTTTCAACCAGGAAGAGCCAGTAATAGACAAAGGAGGTAAGGAGAAAGTCTAGGGAATTTTAGAATCCAACATGTTATTAACCTGCTATTTAATAGCTTGAACAGCCATTGAGGTATTAGCAGAAGGATCAGGAAGGTACCCACAACATTTAGCTTTTGTAATTGCTCAAATATCCCCTTGTACTTTTTTTGTTCTATAAGGAAAGGCCTCGACTCAGTTCATGAAAGTGTCTACCCAGATCAATAGGTATTGGAGCCCGTTACTCTTTGGCATATGAGTAAAAAATTGAGCTGTCAATCTTCTCCAGGGTATTTACCATGTCTCTGTATACCTGGAGGGGCTATGGTCTAGTTAAGAGGATTGTTCTTTTGACAGAGCTCACATGTCTTAACTATCTGTTGTACTGTCTGAGAAAGTTTCTTTCCTTTGAATAACTTTAAAGCCATCTGTTGGGTCTTGTCTCTCCCCAAGTGAAAGGTTTGATAGAGAGACTTAATAATTTTCTATTGACTAGCTCCAGGAAGGAACAATTTACCATCATCTGATTGTAACCATCCTGATGAAAGGAATTGACACCCATGGGAAAGAGCCCATTTGATTTCTGACTCAGAATATTTGGGTCGAGTATGATTAATGGACCCTTCCCAAATCAGAGGGGCTTGAAGTGAGGGCCTTCAAGCAGCTCTTTTTCCAGCTGCATCAGCCAGTTGATTACCTTGAGATAGTCCATCAACTGCTTTTTGGTGCCCTCTACAGTGAATTACTGCCACTTTGGAGGGCATGTAGACACATGATAAAAGTTTGTCTATCTCCTAATGATACTTCATGGGAGATCCATTGGATGTTAGATAATTTTTTTTCTATACAGCTGCATGAGCATGCAGCACTAGGAAAGCATACTTTGAATCAGTATAAATATTGACTTTTTGTCCTTTACTGAGTTGTAGATCCTTTGTTTGAGATATGAGTTCTGCTAGCTGGGCACTAGTCCCAGAGGCAAGTGAGGAAATTTTAAGTGTCTGATGTAGAATCACTATTGCATCTCTGGCCTTCTTCTCCCATTTTTCATGAAGGAACTGACATCACAGAAGGGGTCAAATTAGGGTCAGGAAAGGGTATATCTATCAAGTCTTCTCTGGCTGTGTATGTATGGAGAATTATTTGTTTTCAGTCATGTCTATTAGCCTCAAGTTTTTTCTTTTTTGGTAGAAAGGTAGCAGAGTTTAAAGGGGAACGTGTCATTATTTGAATGGCTGGCCCTTCTAGAAGTAGAGCCTGGTATTTAAGAAGTTGGTTGTCTGATAGCCATAGGCTTCCTTTGGAAGAAAGAAGACTTGACACATTGTGAGGTATACATATATATATATATATATATATATATATATATATATATATAATGAGATCTTTGCCTAAAGTAGTTTGGATGCCTCTGGTACCAGGAGAGCTATGGCAGCCACAGCTCTAAGGCATGCAGACCATCCCTTTGCTATAATATCTAATTCATGACTCAGATATCCTACATGCTGTTGATGAAGTCCTCGATCCTGTGTAAGCACTCCTGCTGGGAGCACTGTAGACGAGCCTTCTTCCCTGTCCATTTCCCTTAAAACCATCAAAGCATGATGTTCTGCAGACCCTAGCTACTCTCCTGGTTCTGATTACAGACCAGCCTCTTCACCTTCCCCTGCCCTTCCCTTATCTCTACCACTATAAATAAACATGCTACAGTTACCAGGCAGTCCTTTTCTCCTATCAGGAGGAAGGCTCCACCTCACCTCAGCTTTTAATATCTCTGTCTGTCTTTTTTCATCCTCCACCATTCTCCTTCCATGGACCCTTCAGCTGTGCAGGTGGTGGCAGTTGGCACATGAGCAGACCAGAGTATGAGACAAGAGATGAGACCAAAATATGAGACAAGTTGCATATTCAGGTGAGTGGGCACCTCAGGGTGTGCACACATAAGTTAGGGATGAGGTGGATTGGAAATTCACCAGGTGTAAAACATGGGGCAATTGGGATCCTATGAGTGACATTTGTATACAGAAATGCTCATGGCACTTTTAAAAGCTAGAGGGTCTGATGCAAAGACCCCCCCCAATTAGCAAAGTTTATGAATTGCATTGAGGGACCAGAAAAAGTCCCTATATATACCTTTTCCTTATGGATTCTAATCTGTGAGTGCTTTGATGATTGAGCCTCCATGAAGTCCACCCCTGAATATCTGGCAAAAAGTAGTGTTCTTAGATTGCAAGAGACTGTCCAGGACTATGGGGTTGTAGGGAGGTCCTTTTCCAGTCTGGAGGCGCTGCCTCCTACTGAGCCTCCTGCTGCACCTGAGGAGCTTGCTGTGATGACTCTGATGGAGAGGTGCTCGGTGAAGAGAGTGATGATAGAATTTTTGAGGGGTGTATTGTGGCGCTTTTATGGTTGGTGCAGCAAAAAGTTAAACTCACAACTTTTCTGGGCCTTGGGCTTGCACTTCTGCTTTGCAAGAACAAAGGAATTCCAATGTGCCACATGGTGTGGCTTCCTCATTCCTTGCAAAGGTTTCCTATTCCTCTTCACTACTACAACTTCCATCATGAGAGGCCAGACAGGCAGGAGAGACTTTTAAGGTACCTTTACCCACTCCTCTGCCTGCTTTTGCTGCCTCAGCTCCCCCTGAGGAGAAAGGGAAGCAGGAATGTAAAACTCTGTCCTAGCCCTGCCTATTTACATATCAACAACTTGTTTGGCAGGCTACACTAGCAAGAAATCCCACTGAGCCCTATTGTTTTCTACACAAATATTAGAAAACAAAACATAAGGTTTAAAACAAGTAAAACCAAATGCAATGCTTAAGAACAGAGCTCAAAGACTAAATGTTAGGTTACAGCCCAGTGCCTGCTACAGTTTGCATGCTCCATACTAAAATAAGCTGTGATGTCCTACCAGGCAGGGGAAACTTTAAAAATTTCAAATTATAAATTTTGGTTAATTGATGAATGTACTTTTTATCTCCAATTTAAATTGATGTTTAATTGGTGCTTGGTTTTCAGATGTTTAATTGGTGTATTTTAAACATTTTTTTCTACTTTGCAAATTCTTAAATTGTAATTGTAGGATTAACTTGCTCTTCTCTCTAATTTCTGCTTGCAGATTTCTGATAATAACTATAACAAAAGATTATGCTACTGTTCTATTATTAGCTTGTTATAAAAGATTACACTTATAGGTATACAACTCTTTTATTCCTTCTAGTTCTAATTACAAGAGATCTCTGTTAATTGACCTACAAAAGTTTTAACTAGTCTTAATTACAATTATAAACCAAAAAATTGTAAAAGGGATGTTATAATTCAAATTGGCCAAATATATTTGAGTGCACTCTAGTTTCATAAATTCTTTTTTTTGTTTGTTTGTCTGTCTGTCCAATTGTTCATCTATTTTGTTTGAGCTCAAAATTTTTCCTTTTCATGCCTTTAAAATTTCTTTTCTTAAAAGATATTTGCCTATAATTTAAATTGGCTTATAGATAAATGTTATTAAAGTTAAAGGCATGGCTTTTGCCCCCAAGTTGCTAGCTGATCAAAATGATGTCAAAGAGTAATTTTAATTGTAATGCATATTGCTGTCTACATTCAATAACTCAAAAATATTTTTTATTGGTTACAAAAATGTGTTAATTGTTACAATCTGTATTTTTTTTTTTTGGTACCAGGGATCGAACTCGGGACCTTGCGCTTGGGAGGCAGGCAGCAGAACCACTGAACTAAATCTCCGGCCTGCAATCTGGTTTTTATGGGTTATTTAAAAATTAAAGTAATTAAATGAAGACTTTTATGTTTGAGGAGACTGCTAAATGGGACTCCCCTTAGTGAATAAAGAAGAAACTGCCCAGAAAACAGGTACATTTATAAGCCCATACCTTTTCCTTAGATGGAATCTGTTAGACCCAGGGAGAAAGAACCAACCAGAGACTGATATTAAATCCACACAGGAGTTTATTACTGGCCAGGACCCGAGTTGAGCATCAGATTTGAGCCCTGACTGGGGGGAGACTAACATGTTTTATACACCTTTGAGGCCAACAGTTTCTAGGCCCCCCTATGGGATAGAACTAGCAAAGCAAGAGAAAGGTACAGAAGTGGAATGTCTTGCTGTTAAAACATTTGTAAAACAATAGTTGATTAATTGTTATTTCTAAAGGGACCTTTTAAGGGGAGGAGGTTTCTAAGCTTCCTCCTTCTGAGTTTATCTAAAGAACAGGCAGGTGGGTCAAGCAGCAATATGGAGTTTGTCTTGCTAACTAGGGTCCTTCAGAATCTTATCAAAAGATAATAACTTAAGTAAGAATTTCCTTTTTTATGTGTTCCTGGAGGGGAGTGGTTACATTTAACAATGGCTATTTTATACTAAGATACACATTTAAGTGTGTTACAAAGATAATCTTATCATGATTGTCATTCTAAAGTATTATGTGTGGGTCCTGATTTAAAGTTTCTTTCTGTCAATATTTTACATGAATTCAACTAGTAGAACAACCATAATTGATAAAAACAACAGTCCTGAGGCTGCCGTACCACCGCCCCAGAGGGCCGAGGAGGTGAGCCTCTTGGGCTGCCGTACCACTGCTCTAGAGCACTGAGGAGGTAAGCTGTGCAGGCGCCAGCACAACCCCCTCCACCCCCCGCTGTGCCAAGCCATTACCTGGATCCACACCACAGAATTGCAGGGGTCACAAAGGACATTGTTCTGAGCTTGAGAAGATAGAGTAGAGGTGAACAACAGAAAGAGGACCTCTCTGAGGCCCCTTGATGAAAATTAAAGCCCACTGGAAAAGTGAAGAAAATCTTTACAATAAAGGCACACCAGACCACCTTAGTTGGGGGAGCAGCACTGTAGACCAGAGCAGCAGGGCTGCAAGCAGATCCCAGCCAGGGCTCTGCCCTGACCCCAGAGGCTGGGGCACACTGGCCCAAGCCAAGGGCCTGCCTGGAAAAGAGCTGCACAGGGACACAAGCAACAGCCAGAGGTTTGCCCCAATACCATCAGTAAGTGTGCAAGACCCTAGCCAGAAGCTTCCTCACACAACAGGAACTGGGGTGCACAGCCCCCAGCCAAAGACCCTCCCAGACAACAGCTACATAGGGGCCCTAGCCAGTCGCACACCTAGATATCATCCCACATGTGCTCAGCCCCCAGCCAGAAGCCCACCCAAACAACAGATCAGCTCAGGGATCCAGAAGGCCACCTTTCTGAACCTAGGAATTAGAGTACTGGTGAGCAGCAGAGAAAAGGGACTCTGTGGCTTGCTGAGAATTGAAGACCACTGGGTGAGCAAAAAGCTGGCACAACAAAGGCACAGCAGGCTGCATCTGTTGAAATGAGAAGGCACGTAAAGAAGCCTCAAAACCAGACTTCCAGATCACCTAAGGCAAAGGAAAGGAGATGGAACAATCTGATACTCAACCACCTGGATGCCCTGAACGGGCAACAAAAGAGGATCTGGAAAAAATGAAATCAGAAATAATTTCTCAGATAACAGCAGAGATTGTACCCATAGTGCAAGACTTGATTAATAAATCTAAAGCAGACACATGAGAAAATAGAGGAGCTGAGGAACATGATGGAATCCCAACATAAGAAACAAATGGAATCCATAAAACAGATGCAAACAGATTTCTAG